CAGCAGCAGCAACAGCAGAGTAACACAACCAGCAACTGTCGTCTCATCGATTTGGCGTCTACCATCCGGTCAAGGGGTCAAATTTCGAAGAAATCGCCAAATGACACCAAAAATGACTTCAAGACGTAATGGTTGGTTATTAAATTAATAAATTAATGGGGGGGAGAGAAGGGGGAAGGGTATATAATTTGAGTGAAACTTAAGAAATTAGAGTAGAAAAAGTGCAAAAATTAATGTAACTTGAATTCTTAATCTATATATTTATCATCATCGATTAGTAAAAGGCCTTTTTTGCTGCCTAATTATTATTGTGCATGCTGTTTAATAGGCTGGTTAAATATTATGCTCGATACATTTTCGCCTGTTCCTGTTTATATGCAAACTTCAGATTTACATTGTTTTCCTCTATCTTTTAACAGTCATATTTTGAACAGACATTTCAATAAATTTACTTAACGAGGATATTTCGCAATTACTTATTGTTAACACAAATAATTAATACAAAATTTCAGATATTCGATTCCATAGCAATCCAGCAATACCGGTGAGTGAGATGAAAAATGATTATCCGGCTAGTGAGTTACGACGTTCGATGATTATTCCAGTTAGCGAGCGTCGGAAATTCTTTGAAACGATCGCTGAATACAGTCATCCTTTCTGATAAAAAAAAAAATTATATTTCATAACATTCAAAAAAAAGCATTCCTTTCCTGTTAGATAGGGAATATCTAAGCTATCATTTGTTGTAACCTTTAAAAAAGATAGAAAAAACTGACAGATTTAAGGAAAATTAGCTGAGTTGTTAAAATTACACTAAAAATTTTAATAAGAAAATTTAATTTACATCTTCTCATCTATAAAATTTTTAGTCAGTTTCTTGGAAAAATAGGTTTGAAGTAAAATCACATGTATACTAAAAAAAAGAATAACTTAAGAGCAGGCCTAAAATTAACTAAAAAATTTAACAACCCTCGAAATTCTTCGCAAATTAGCTTTGGAAGATATTTCAGCAACCCGTTTTTACGGAAAATTATTTTACCAATATTGTGTAATAAAATCAATCCTTCAATTATTTGAAGTGCTTTCATCAACGTTTATGCTAGCCCATTATTTATTTTTTTCCATTCCTTCACTTCGATATATCGTATACTTTTTTTCCCTAAAATAAACTGCAACAGTTAAGGAAATTTTTACGAAACGGTGATAAAATTGATGTTAATTTTGTGAAATTATATATATATATATATAAATCATGCAATTTTTTAAAATGAACTGATTATTTATACTAGTGATTGATTCTGATCTGAAATTTTGATTCCATTCAGGTCTAATTTATTGCTTTTAAATCTGTAATAGATTAATTATGCAACAGCCTTCGCATGTTCTTGTGAATTAGCTCGAAATTGAGCTTTTCTGAGAAACTGGCTGAAATCGGTGCAATTAATAGGATTACATTAAAATTGTAGCTGAATTACTTACTACTAGTCATCCATTTTTTACGGTGGAAAGCAAAGAAACTACAATCTCACACCTTAATAGATGAAAAAATTATTGAACTGAATGTTTTTATGAGTAACTTTGCATTCTTTTCATTATTTTGTAATGAAAATTCAAAACTTAATCTTCCAAAATTTTCGAATTTCACAAACTCCTATCCATAAAGAAATTCGGTTTTTTTTTTTGAGATTTCTAGACTGCAAATAACAATTATAGCTCCCTTTATTCTTATTCTAACAGTTCTTAAATCAAAATTCATAAATTAATTTAAATTCTATTCCTGAACATCTTACCCATCAGTTCCCATAGAGCATTAAATATTTAAATGCTATCCGCCTAACGAGCAATATATATTTGTTGCGACTCGCTTGCTATCTGTATATCATTGTATAATAAATGAAATTTTTTACAATAACTGTGAATACAGATCTAAATGTTTTAAGCATCATTTAAATTCAAAATTTAATCTTTCAAAATTTTTGAATTTCACAAACTCCGATCCATAAAGAAATTCGGCTTTTTTTGAGATTTCCAGACTGCAAATAGCAATTAGACTGCAAATAACAACTCCCGGATATCATTCTATATCCCACTGCTTAAAACAAGAATAATCTTACTCAAATGTTTGCGAGCTTCTTTCTCATCACAAAAATGAAATTATTAATTTCAAGTATTTATTATCAAACATGAGTTTATAGAAATGTCCTTTGTTTTTGAAGTGAGCGATATTACTTTTCGAGTTATCGAAACATCAAAGGGCTACTCATTTCTATGTTAGTGTTATTGTCATTAAATTAGGTACATCACAAACAAAATATAATTACATTAAATATATCACAAACAAAATATAATTACATTAAATATATCACAAACGAAATATAATTAGAAAAGTCAGAATCCACCGATACCGAAATAATTGAAATGAAAAGCACAAAGAATTCAATACCGGCTTGAAAGGGTTCTCATAAAAATTACAACAAATCAAATAACAAGAGGTATATTCTATCTATTCTTAGACTTGATTTACTCGACTTATCCTTCTACTTGATTTGTCTATCTATCCAATTCTTCAAATCTCATTTCTACTAATAAATACTAATAATAATGTTACCGAAGAGCTGATATATGCGTTCGTGTTAAGATCATTTTGGATCTAATCAAGTCAATATTTTGACAAGTGACATCTTCAAAATATGAAGATGAGATAGGAATTTGTAGGAGTGAAACTAAGATGTGGACAACTGTGATGTTTTCAGTCGCTTACAACATAAGCAAAAGCAAAGAATCAAACTGCCCGAAGTATCTTCTCATCTAATTTCTACAGAAATTATAAAATGAAGTGAACGAGTCCGTATAAAATTTTCACTTCTCAATACTACCTTTCACTTCTTCACTGATTTCATGTGATTAAGTGCTGAGCCAGCCTTAAACCATTCGATTTGAGCCTCATTAAAACTGTGAGATAGCCAGATCTCCTCTTCTTTACCATCAGCATGTTTCAGGATGCACTTCAATGGCTACAAAAAAACCAAATGTTTAAAATTCTGAATTTTTATGCAATCATAACTACCCATTTTTTAATTGGTAGTAAGTGGTACAAACACAGGCGTTATATAGCTATAATCTCATACCTCAAAAGTAACATAAACAGAATGAATGCAACAATGAAGGACAAAAAGTTTATAACCAGAAAAAAAAACCTTGCCAGGCGCGAAATTTCTCAAACCAACGATCGATACTTTATCATTCGGTTGAACCTTATTGTAATCATTTGGATCAGCAAACGTTAATGGGAGCATACCTTGTTTTTTCAAATTCGTTTCTGAAAGCAAAAGAGGAAATAAACTGAATGTTTGCTTTGCCATACCAAATTTGCCAATGAAAAGAAAAGTGTGAGAAACTTACCATGAATTCGAGCAAAACTTTTTACAATGATTGCACATCCACCAAGATGTCGAGGTTCCAAAGCTGCATGTTCACGTGATGAACCTTCACCATAGTTTTCATCACCTACCGCTACCCACGCTACTCCTTCCGATTTGTAATGACGTGCCGTTTGAGCTACTGTATCATATTTTCCTGTCAAATGATTGCGAACCTATAAATGATTATAAATTCTTTCCTATAATTCAACAAATAAAGCTTTGAATCAAATAACACTGGTTTACAAAAGTCTTTGAACGAAGGATGTATTAGGCACCCTTTTAACTAGCACCTCAAAAACTATTATTACCTTATTCATCTCACCATTATCCGCATTAACAGCAGTCAAAAATAAATTATTTGAAATATTATCCAAATGACCACGGAATTTCAACCAAGGCCCAGCAGCACTGATATGATCCGTTGTACATTTTCCTTTTACCTAAGCGAAAAATTAAATTATGAAAATAATGACAATTTGTTACGCTTTACTCATTCAATTCAATTTAAAATTGTATTTTTAAAACGAGATCTGGTCAAATTTATTTGCTTCAAGCAAATTTAAAATAAAATGAAACCGGATCCGTTCCTTTATACAACATACTTTAATTAATATTAACATATTTTCGAAATCTCTCCCATTCCAAGGATTGAATGGTTGCAAAAGTTGTAAACGCTCGCTATTTTCATCGACCACAACATTACCATGACCTGATGGAGCCTGATAATAGTTTACACCCGGATCATAACCTTTTGGTGGCAGGCTATCACCGCTTGGTGGTTGCAGCATGAATTTGCTACCTGAAATGATATTTTCGTTAATTGCGTCAGAAAAACGATTGTTTATGTAAATTTTCAAGTGCAATCATTATACGCACGATTCAGAGCATCCAATCTACAAAAAAATTGCAGTCAATTACGTTCATAATTCAATCCCTTCTAAGAGTGTCAGTTTTGAATAGATTTCATATTCATAGCCTTAACTGAACGTAAGTGATATGGTTCCTGTAAAAATTTCACGACAAATACGAAATTATATGGTATTTAGTTGGGAAAGTTCTAAAAAACAAAAAAGCGTGTGAAATGCGCCTTGACAATTACTATAAAAATAATGAGATATAATAAAGTTACCGCTTGGAGTTTCAAGCTCATCGCTTCGCGGATCAAAATCAAGACGTCCTGCAAGAGTCAAAGCTGTAACCAATTCTGGTGAAGTAACAAATGCATGAGTTGCTGGATTTGCATCATTCCGACCAGTAAAATTACGATTGTACGAAGTTACAATCGTATTTTTTTCGCCCTAAAATATAAGAAAAAAACATAACGCTCTTTATCCCACAATTAAATGATGGAAATCTGAAGAAATGTGCAAAAATGTGCATGGAAAAGTAATCGCAAAAATAATTAGTAAAACTTAACTTCTTAACATCTTTCCTATCCCACTGACCAATGCAAGGGCCGCAAGCGTTTGCAAGTACTACACCACCAAAATTTGTGAAAATCTCCGTTAAGCCATCTCTTTCCATGGTTGCTCGAATCTGTTCACTTCCAGGTGTTATTGTAAATTTCGACTTTGCCTTCAGTCCTTTGTCAAGTGCCTGGAAAGAAAATTCTATACAACTTTAATTCCATTGAAAAACCACTAATTAGAAGTTTTATCTGTAAACAATATTGTAAACAAATAAGTAGCTAAGTGAAAAGTAATAATAAACTCTGATAATTACCTGTTTTGCAACACTTGCAGCGCGTGTCATATCTTCATAAGAACTATTTGTGCAAGAACCAATGAGACCGACTTTAATTTCTAATGGCCAATCATTCGCCTGTGCATTTTTTCCAAGAAGATCAATTGGATGCGCCAAATCCGGAGTAAATGGTCCATTAACATGCGGTACCAATGTGCTGAGATTTATTTCAATCAGCTAAAACTGATACATGAAGGAATTTGGAAATCTCGGTAAGTTTCAAACTTCAGCTTCCAATAGCTATTTTTTATTTGACTAAAGCTAGAACTCAAAAATAATTTTACTTCATTTTTTTTTCCACACAATATTAAATGCATTCTCAAAAGTTTATTTCCATGCTTATTTACTTTTTTTTAACAATCGGATTTCTAAATCAAATAAGGATACTGAAACAGCATATAATGTGATCTTTATCTTCAATCCATTTTTTCTACAGCTCTGATCAGATGAAGTTCAGAAACATATAATAAAAACCTTCCCTTAAGGGTAAAAAAAAGGCGAATTTCCCATTGATGACATCTAACCTTATTATACTCTGAACCTTCATCTGGTACTAGGATTTCCTTATATCGCATTGCTTCGTTCGCGATAGCTTCTCGTTTTGTGGCTTTCAAATATTCCACCATATTATCGTTGAAAGGAAACACCGATGTTGTCGCACCAATTTCTGCACCCATATTGCAAATTGTACTCATACCAGTTGCTGATATTGAATCAACACCAGGACCTAAAGCCATTCGTTTGATTTCATTCAAATTCTGAATGCATAAATTAATGAAATAAATCATTTCTTTGTAGTGCAAAGAATATAAGCTGAAATTAGCTCTTTTATAAATATATTATAATGACAAAAATCATACCGAAGTACTCCACAATACAGCCTGTGCCACCCTTTACAGTAAGTATATCTGCTACCTTCAAGATAACATCCTTGCTGGATGTCCAACCTGAGAGTTCGCCTGTCAATTTGACACCAATCACCTAAAAGCTCGATTTTTTGAAAACTTTAAAATATCAGAAAATTAGCGATCATATATTTACAAAGTTGTAAAAAATATAACTCTTTAACTTCAGAAGAATTAATAGTTACTTGCGGACATTTCAACTCCCAGGGAATATCGGCCATAACATCAACAGCATCAGCACCTCCAACACCAATGCATAAACCTCCCAAACCACCTGAAAATGTGTTTTCATATCTACTTTGGAACTAACAAGTCTTAAAGTGATTAATAATTTATTAATTAAAACCGACCTATTTCTTTCAGGATAAAAAAATGAACAAAAATATTGTGGAGCGACCAGTAATTGGGATCTGATTTCCCGACGAAATTAAAATTAAAAGATAATGTAAACAAGATGGTACAATACGAGCAAAAAATTTATTAACAACTTATTTTAATTACTATCTTCATAGCACTTCTATTATATAAAAAACATTTTTCATATTTTTTTCTTCTTAAAAAAGAAGAGAAATATCGAAAAAAGAGAAATTGGAATTATGACAATTGCAAAAACTGTAAAAACAAAAATAGCCATACCTCCCATTGGTGTGTGACTGTCAGTGCCTATTAGCAACAGTCCGGGGAAAGCATAGTTTTCCAAGATAATCTGATGAATAATGCCACTTCCTGGTTTCCAAAAACCAACACCATACTTATTGCTCGCTGAGGACAAAAAGTCATAAACCTAAAATAAAATGTGATGTGTTAATTCAAGAAAAACATAAACTTTAGCATATAATGTTCCTCTCTTGACAACAATCATTTTTCATAAAAAAGACCTCCTTATTGAGATCATTAGCTCGTTTTAAATCAGGGGTTCCTCCTAACTGTGCTTGAATCAAATGATCACAGTGGATAGTCGATGGTACTGCAACCTGTGGAAGTCCTGAGGAGATAAACTGTAGCATGGCCATCTGTAATTACAACAAATGCAATGATAAACTTCAACTTTGTACACCGAAATATATCATTTTTGTCCAGTCGAATCATTCATTAACATAACACACAGTTTGAGATTTCTGTGATCAAAAAACAAGAACCTGTGCAGTGGCATCCTGCATTGCTACTCGATCTGGCCTCAGTCGCAAATATGAGGAACCTCGTTTAATCTCCTGCTTATCTGGTTCATCCAAGTGTCCATATAATATTTTCTCGGATAATGTAAGTGGTCTTTTTAGTCTAAAATTTATTTATTTTTTCTATAATTTTCTTTTTAGTCTATAATTTTTTTCCTGAAAACATTGAGAATTACTTTCTAAGATTTAAATTTCTTCGCATAACAAAACTTTTACAAAAATCTTCAAAAGAGAAACTGACCTTTGTCGTATAATATTTACATTTCTTTCCAACTTTTCATAAGGTAATAAGGACCCTTCTTCAATATTGTTCATCCGTACTCTTGAACCAAGTTTCGCGTATAAATGTAACAAACATCGTCCATTATGCGCATTTAATATATGAAATTCCACTCCACGCAATATCATTTCCAATCTTAAGAATTAAAATCAAACAACAACAAAATGAAAAAAAAA